CCCAAAACCAGTACTCGATCAAAATATGTGCTCCTGGTCCACCAAGTCAGCAACTGTCTTTAGAGAAAACACCACCCTTCTCATACCTGCGGTCTGTTCAGCTGGTCTTTTAGATTGTTCCTTCTAAATTTCAATTTGAACCCTCCTTCTCTCCGCTATATATATCTGCCTAAGCCCACTGGGAAATAGTGAAGTGCACTCGGAGGGTTACCACAGGTGCCATCTGGACCTGTCTCACTCCACAAGAGCTGTGTGCTACCGACAATGCATGTCCATCTTACAAATGAGGACACCTGGGCCGAGGCTGCAGCCTCCTGCCTGCATTCCATCAATACCCCCACATTGGGATGGCATTCCTGCAGCTGCAATTCTCCACTGAGCTGCCAGATCAACTCCCTAAAGAAAGGTTACATTAAGTCACCTCTCAGCTGAAGACCTTGGGTGGTGCTCTCCTATCTAGCCCTCAGAATCCGACATATCTAACTGCCAGGTTTTACCTTGAGGCACTCTAAGCTATACACCCCAACACTAATCCATGTCTGTGCAGGCCTTCTGCCAGACTCTTTCCAAGCCCCACCTCCTCCTTCTGGCAAGGTGCATGCCCCCTCCCTGGCATGGCATGTGTCTACTGCTATGTTCTCTTTCACTTACCTTACTGATATGGCTTTCTTTTTTTTTTTTTTTTTTTTTTTAATCTTTATGTTGCAAGTATTACATATGCACCCTTCTCCCCTCCCCCCAAGATACTGCTTTCTTGCTTCCAGTCTGTTTTCTAGGTATCTGGCATATAAAAAGGATTGAATAAAAGCTTGCTGAATTAGTAACTGAATGACAGCTGATCATTGAAGAGTCTCTAAGTCTTGGGAAACAAAGGCAGACAGTCCCAAAACAGAAAGTACTGATTCACAAAGGCTGAGATTACGGTTCTTAACTAAAAACCCCCACCCCCACCCCCACTCTGTGGCACAGCGGTTGAGCATCGACCTATGAACCAGGAGGTCATGGTTCCATAACCCGTCAGGACACATGCCCAGGTTGTGGGCTCAATTCCCAGTGGGGAGCATGCAGAAGGTAAGTGACCAATAATTCTCTCTCATTGTTGATGTTTCTATCTCTCCCTAACCCTTCCTCTCTAAAATCAATAAAAATATATATTTTTTAAAAGAACATCTCCCCCCTCACCCCCCACCCCCACCCCAACTCTCTCCATCTAGCAATGCAGGACTGTGGCACCCAAGGTCAGAAGAACAAACTTTGTACTATATATGGGGGGGGGGGGTATGTATTTCAGGAATTCCCCTTGGTAATCCACCTTGTTTGCAGGGCCCCATAAAAAGAAAAATGTAAATAACAGAATCACTTAACCTGACATTGCTCTGCTATATTAAGCTTTTTAATCTGTTAATAAACATAGTCAGGACAAAGATAAGATGACAGAACTCATTAAGGATAACACGACTAGTGACAGAAAATCAAGTGATGGTGTGTGTATTGCTGCATTTAGCACATGGTTCATATCTCCTTCTCCCTCTTCTCTGCTTGTACCAGTGAAATATACTAATTATGTCTCTGGCTAGAGACATGTGGACCCCCTTCAAAGCAGGCAAACATTGGCCCTGCTGCACTATTGATCCTTCTCCTCCTTTCAGAAATCCAGGTCATGGTAGGAAGGAGGAGAACCTTGCCAAACTTAGCCAAGAGGTCTCTGATGCCTTAAACAGATTGTTAAAAATCCCAAAAGCTTTTAATCCCTGAATGACTGACTGGCTACTGTGTTTACATATCTGCACTAATCCGAGTATTATTAATGATGTAGAAGGTTTTTCATTGAAGAGACACTGAATGGAGTTGTGGGGCGAAGGCATGGTCTTGGGCTGGCCAAGTGTCCTCCCCAAGATCTCAAGATTTATCCTCTTCCATATATTCAAATTAGTGCCAAGAAACTTACCAGTAATAGTTGGGGACTGGAGAAAAGAATGATATGTAATCCTTCAACAATACCACTTCCAGGTCTTTGATTTGATTCCAGACTTCATTTCCTATTAATATTGAGCTTATTAAAAACTGCAATCTTTACTCCTAATAGTGCCTACTGTCACCAAAAGGTGATGGAGTGATTGGACTCCTTCATGCTGGACAAAAACTTTGGAGTTCTGACAAGCTCTATTTGATTTGAAATTCACACCAAAAAGGAACAAATATAGATAGAATGCAAGTATTATAATGGTCATGGGATTCCCAACTATTAGCTTATCCTAAAAAGACTTCAGAGAAGGCAAAGACGTAAGTGAAGGTATGTGTCATCAGTAATTGACATAAAAAAGTGAGGAATACATCTAAATGTAATTATAAAGTTATAGATAAATGATAAGACGTCGGGAAAATAGAACAGGTATTCCTGTGACAGTATTAATTCCTATGATGCTGGATAGTTAGGGTATAAAAGTAAAAAAAAAAAAATGCAATTCTAATTCAGGGAGTGAAACATCACATATGCACACAGGAGATTTAGAAATAGTCTCATCAAGGAGGTGGTTAACAGTGGTTGTCTCTGGGAGATTGGAGGGAGCGTATTTTGAGTTTTGAGGGTTTTTTTTAAAGGAGAGGGAGAGGGGGAGAGGGAAGGAGAGGAAGATGAAGGGGAAAAGGGACAGGGAGAGGGGGAGGGGGAGAGATATCAGTTGCCTCCTGCATGTACCCCAACTGGGGATTAAACCCTCAACCTTGGTATGTGCCCTGACCAGGAATCAAACCTGCCACCATGGTTTTGGTGCACAGAACTAAACTGAGCCATATTTAGGTGCATGCTCCAAACAACTGAGTCACAGTGGCCGAGTTTATTCTTTTGCTGACATTCCCATCTTGTCTGCTGTTATTTCCTTTTGGAAAACCGAATGAACCCTGTTGTTAAACTGAAACTGAAAGTACTGGTACTAATTCACAGCTTTTAATACACAGAGACACAAATATACATCTAGATATACTAAACAAGCATGTACACATACACACACACACTACAGGTTCAGAGCACCTAGAGAAATTGTACTAATAGCTATGAAGTAAACACACCTCAGGAGCACATCTTGGCTTGTAAATAACAACTGTTGCTTAAAAAAACAATGCTCCTTGGGGAACTGGAGGATTCCAGCACTGAGGAAATAACATACAAAATGAGCCTGGAACATACTATTATGCCAGGAAGCAAAGATGGAAGGATGACAGGGCCATGTCAAAGGGACCATAAAGCCAGCTTGAAGAAGCTCAAGTAATGATACCCAGAACAATCTAAATATCAAGACAAACAATGATAAAAGAGTATAATCCTTTGAATAGGAAATTGATTTATACAGATAGAAAGTAGAGTATGATGAGAAATAAAATGTAGTGTATCACAGAACTGCCAGACAAAATACTTACCTAATAATAGACAAACATGTAAATTGACTGTATCTCCTCTATGCACACAGCCAATCAGAGTGAGTATGCAAATTAGAAGGCCAAAGATGGCAGTGCCCAGCTGCTCCAGGTAAGGAGTGGCCAGGCGGGGTGGGGATAGAGAAGAAGGACAGCTGCTATGGATGTGTGTGTGTGTGTGTGTGTGTGTGTGTGCGCGCGCGCGCGTGCGCACACGCACGCACGCACGCGTGCCACAGAGAAGATAAAACTGCAGACTCCCAGAGACTACAGCAAAGACAAAACTGGCGGACTCCAGCTGGAGTCTGCAGGAAAGATGAAGAGGGCAGACTCTGGCCAGAGCAAAGGCCTGGGTCCTGGGTGTCAGAGGAAAACTGGTGCTGGAAGTCAAGGGAAGGAAGGCCTATTGCACAAATCTCTTCATACAATGAGCTTCTAGTTAAATATAAGGGCTAAAAAGGTAACTTTGCAATGGAGAAGCCTCAATCAAGTGATCAACGAGAAAACCATCAGTAAAAGGATAGACTGAAATTTTGTCTAACACAACAGGATGCACTGAGAAGACGGAAGAATCACTTCTGTGATATTTCAGCCCAAAATGCAAAACTCCAATCTAATAATGAAGAAACACAGATAATTCAAATATAGGATCATTCCGCAAAACAATTGACTCAGATCAGAAGAGACAAAGACAAAAGTACTGGTCCAGTGTTAGCAGACTATGCAGACAACAGTTAGACAATGCCCAATTCTGAACTGGGTCCTTAGGCTCTAAGCTTGGACATCACTGAGGCATTTGAAGCCATATGAAACGAGAGTATGAGGATTAGGTAGTAGTAATGTATCTTTGTGAAGGTCCTAATTTTGTTTGTTACAGATTATCCTTATTTTAAGAAAATACACATTAATGTGTTAAGGAGCAATGGGGCATCACCAGGTGGAAATTTTCTCTCGAGTAGTTTAGGAAAATGTTCTTTGCACTGTACATAAATCTTCCTATAACTTATTTCAAAATGTTAAGGGGAATGGGGCGAGAGAAGGACATAACCCTGAATCTCAAGCCAATGACCAATAGCAAGGACTCTCTCCTTCCTGTTCACCTTCTCTCTCAACTAACTTCACAAAGGAATCTTCAAGTTCCTAGCTTTCTAAAGCTCACCTCCATGGACCATTCCAGTAAGAGACTCCTCGTTCTCTTTGCCAAGCTTTTTGTGTTCTTCCTTCACAACTGTTAGAAAACTTAGTTATTATAGTAAACACTTTCCAACAAAATACAGCCATGTAAACCCAAATGCATCCTTTATTACAAAATTTTATCCTGAACTTGCACTCAGTTAACTGGTGCTGTTTACATATATCAAACAATATTGTCACTGTTAACTATACTTAGAAATTAAGAGTCAAATGAAAAAAGAAAGAGAAATATGAAGATTCAAGCACTTTGGCGTGGGATTTCTCAATTTAAGCCCTACTTCAAAATAGGCTGGCAACTGGAAGAAGCATCCCGAGGAGTCCTGTGTGCACAGTTACTCCTTTTTCTATCAATTAGGCTGTTCCCTCCAAAACAAGTGGCAACACAGTCTTACCTCGAAGGCAGAGAAAGGTAAGAAAATCTTCTGTCTTAGGCTTCCTTTTAGAGAGGTCAGAAATTTGAGTAGCTGGAGGGGGTAGCAATGGCTCCACTATCTTTACTGGAGTTGTGCTGGGACTATTCGGCTGAGATTGAGCAAACTTCCTTTGTGCTTGCAGCCTGGGCCTGTAAAAGAAAAGGTAAATAAAAATAAATTAAGCAGAGATCAGAGAATTTTGAGCTATGTGCAGCAATAAAATTATGAAACAGAAGGGGGAAAGACCCTATTTCAAGTTAACTCTTTATAATTAATGTTCTATATCTCTCACACTCTCATAAACCACAGGCCAACTTTAAAGAACAGTAAGTTTGGTTAAAAGGCTGTGTTTAATATACTGATAGAAAGTATCTACCAATACATGCCTGTACACAGACCATTTACGTGCCTGCGTATTTCAACAATTGCTATTTGATGACAGGGATTACTTGCTTATGGACTTCTGATCTACCTAGTGATGAAAAACACACATCAGCCTGCCACAGCTATACAGCATTCTATCCATTAGCATGCCGCTGTCACAGACACATGATGTCCTTAGTCCTCTGTCCTTACACCCAGCCCGTCTTTGCTGTCCATCCATCACTGAACCTGTCTTGTACCGCAATTCTAATCACTCTGACTCCAATTCATCCACAATCACTACACTAATTTGAAGCTTATACTAGTAGTGCAGAAAATAAATGCATTTCTTTAGTTTATCCAAAACCCCTCCATCCCTGCTAGATTATGGATTACCTACCCTCTGGCTATAGGGTAAACCCAAAGCCTTTAGGTAAAAATTTAAAAAAACTTCCCTTAATCTATCTTTCAGGTCTCTCCTTAGTACAATCCTACCTAGACATTGACCCTACAACTTATCCACTTAGTGTCTACAAACCACAATTTACAAAATCTTACGTGAGACACACCTTTCTATCAACTTGAATACTAATGAATTTTAGAAAGATTTCTTTTCAGTTTTCCTTACACCATAGCCAAGTTAGAATAAGTATCCTAACATATTTTCCTCTTATGTATAACTAACCTGACATTTATCATAAATTGTCTCATAATAAATCTTCCTCTAATTGTAAGGATCTCAATCCATAATAGAAGTAGGTACTTCTGAGACCACCTTAAACTGTCTATCCAGCCCTGCTTTTACAGATACTCAAGAAATAGTATTTGGGACAGAGGGGCCACGCAAAGGAGTTGTTCCATTCTTCTAACATTTGGTACTGTTTTTGAAATTTTGGTCATTCCCACTCTAGTGGGGGTAAATGCTATCTTACTATACTTTCAGTTTGCATTTCCCTGATACCTAACAACATGGAGCACCTTTTCCTGTGCTTCTTGGCCATTTGTATATCTTCTATTATAAAGATACTATTAGATGTTTGCCTTTTATATTGAGCTGTCTTTTATTATTTTTTTATAGGAGTTTATTGACTCAAAGTACACACATACACATGTGTGTTCTGGATACCAGTCCTTTATCTAGCAGATTATGTATTGTGAATATTTTAACCCAGACTATGGTTTGCCTTTTCATTTTCTTAATAGTGTCTTTTGATGAGCAGAAATTTTGAATTTTGATAAATTTATCATGTTTTTCTTTAATGCTTAGTGCTTTTTGTGTTCTCTATAAGAAATATTTGCCTCTAAAATGCAAAAATAATCTACTAAAATTTCCTCTAAAATTTTTATCATTTTTTTAAATTAAATTTATCGGGTTGACATTGGTCAAGCGGGTCATATAGGTAGGTTTCCAATGTACATTTCGATGATACATGATCTGTATATGGTATTCCCTAACACCCAAAGTCATATTGTCTTTCATCACCATATATTTGGCCCCCTTTATCATTTGCGACCCCTTAACCCTTCCCTCTGCTAGCCACCATACTGTTGTCTGTGTGTGCCTGTGTTTAACTTGTATATCCTACAAGTGAAATTATATGGTTCTTAGCTTCGTCTGACTTATTTCACTTAGCATAATATTAAGGGGGAGAAGAGGATGGGAAGCAAAAAAGAGCCAAGCAGCAGCCCCAAAGAAACGGCTGTATCTAGATCTGTGTGAGACTGACAATGCCAGCTCAACTCAAGGTTGCACTGAGTATTACATCCTATATAATAAAAGGATAATATGCAAATTGACCAAACAGCAGAACAATCTGTCACTATGATGCACACTGACCACCAGGGGCAGACGCTTAATGCAGGAGCTGCCCCTTGGTGGTCAGTGCACTCCCACAGGGGAGCACCACTCAGCCAGAAGCCAGACTCATGGCTGGCGAGCACAGCGGAGGTTGTGGGAGCCTCTCTTACCTCTGCTGCAGGTGAGCAGTAAAGAGCATGAGAGTGAGAGAGATGTCTGACTGCCCGTTTAAACTCAATCACCCTGAGGACCGGGCCTAAATCAGCAGGCGAACATCCCCTGAGGGGCCCCAGACTGTGAGAGGGCACATGTTGGGCTGAGGGACCCTCAGTTCATGAATCTTGTGCACTGGGCCTCTAGTAAGAAATAAAAACAAATCTGTTTCTTTGTAAAACATAAACAAGTAAGTCTTCCCTTAACTACTGTTGGTATTAAAAATATTAAGCCAATGTGATTCAGTGGTTTAGTGCTGACCTATGAACCAGAAGGCCATGGTTCAATTCCCTGTCAGAGCATATGCCCGGCTCAATCCCCAACAGGGAGCATACAGGAGGCAGCCAATCGATGATTCTCTCAAATCATTTATGCTTCTCTCTCTCTCTCTCTCTCTCTCTCTCTCTCTCTCTCTCACTTCCTCTCTGAAATCAATAAAAATATTTTTTAAATAATAAGTATTTAAACTGCTGACATGCAAAAAACATTATTTAACTGATTTCAGAGACAGAGAGACAGAGACATCCATTTGCTGTTCCACTTATTTATATACTGAGGCCCAGTGCACAAATTCATGCACATGCGGGGTCTGACCAGCCCAGCCCCAATTGGGGCAGATAAGGGCTGGGCCTGTGGGGAGGAGGAGACAGTAGGAGGTTGGCTGGGTAGCCTACTCCGATCGGGGCTCAATCAGGGCCAGGCTGGACGGGTGGTGGAGGGGAGGGCTTGGGCAACTGGCCAGCAGGCTCCGCCCCCGATTGGTGTGCACCCCCTTGGGGGGGGGGGCGGAGCCAGTCAGGGGGGGAAGCTACAGATGGTTGGCTGGCCAGCCCTGCCCCTGATTGTGAAGTGAGGGGCCCAAAGAGGCTGGGGCTAGTCAGGTGAAGGGGTCCACAGGCAATTGGTCAGCTGTCCCCATCCCCTTTGAAGTAGGGGGGGAGGGCGATCGAAGGTGGAGCCAGCTGGGGGAAGGGACTGCAGGCCAATGGGGTGGTGGAGCCCATCAAGGGCAGGGCTAGCCAGGGGGAGGGGTTATGGGGGGGAGCTGGGGTTGCCAAGCCACCCCACCCTTGATCCAGGTAGGAGAAGCCATGGGAGTTTGGCTGGCCAGCCCCACTCTTGATCCAGCAGGTTTGCTGGCTACAATGGGCATCATAGCGATTAGTCGTTATAGCATTCCAGTTACTGGCTTTTTTTTTTTTTTTAATAAAGAGGGAGAGGGATAGAGTATTAGAAACATCAATCAGCTGCCTCCTGCTGGAGATATATGCACACCCCCTTACTGGAGATATGCCTGCAATCAAGGTACATGCCCTTGACTGGAATTGAACCTAGGACTCTTCCTTCAGTCTGTAGACTGATGCTCTATCCACTGAGCCAAACTGGTAAGGGCCCAATCGCTGGCTATATATATATATATATATATATATATCCCCACTGGTTGATTCCTGCATGTGCCCTGACTGGGACTCAACCCACAACCTTGGTGTACAGATGCTCTAACCAAGTGAGCTACTGGCCAGGGCCTCAAAATACATGACATTTAAAAATAACTTTCTAGTATTTAATAAAATACTATAGCAAAATGCACACACACAGTTTTCTCCTTTGTATAAAGTAACACCTTTAAATTTAGCCTCCTATGAGTCCTGACCAATCTCTCTACCACCCACCAAAAGCACTACTGTACAGAATTCCTGGTGCAAACTGACATTTGATCAAAAGAGAGACAACATGACCACTCTGTACTTGCCGGGCAACCTTCAGTCCTTAAAATCTGCAAGTATCACAGAGCTGATCAAAAGCACTCAGGAACCCAAGACAACCAAGTGAATGAAATAGCCACATTAACAAGGTAGAGGCAGAAAACTTTACAAATTTAAGTTTCCCAAATGTTACCAATGGATAAGGAAGAAGGTAATGGCACTATCCCTATGTTATAGGGAACAAGGATCTTTTTTGCTTGGATATACTAGTAAGACGAGACTGCCATAGTGTGTGCTGGAGGAGCTACTACCCTGTTTCCCCGAAAATTAGACAGTGTCTTATATTAATTTTTGCTCCCAAAGATGCGCTAGGTCTTATTTTCAGGGGATGTCTTATTTTTCCATGAAGAAGAATACGGTACACATTTATTGTTAAATGAAAATAAAGGAAATTTATTACCTGTGTATGGTACGGTAGTACGGTAGTTGTCAACACAAACCAGACAAACTGAATCCTACAGTATCAAGAATTTACTCATTTATTCAATGACAATCATGTCATCATCTTCTGGAACATCATTATAACAATCCAATTCCTGAATTTCCTGGTGAATTTCTTGTGACTCCATTTCTTTCAGAATCAGTGGACCAAATCTCTCATGTTTAGCAATAGCATTCTGAGACAGAGCCTAGAAGAGACCTTTTTTTTTTTTTTTTTTTTTTTGGGGGGGGGGGGGGGGGGGCTTATATTTCACTCAGAAGAAAACCTGTAAGTAGGTCTTATTTTCGGAGGATGTCTTATTTTCGGGGAAACACGGTACTAAGCCCAAAGCAATGAACTTCACAGAGAGAGAGTGACTTCAGAGTGGTGCTTCTCAGACTATCTGAGATGAGGACTATTTTTGTGTTTGGCTATTTTTCCCCCTTTACTTTTGCAAATATTGTAGATATTTTTATAATCAATGCCAACCAAACTGGAGGGTGAGGAGACAAAATTTTAAAAAGACAAACACAAGCCAAAATTTTTATTAGATTCAACAGCCATAAAAATCACACTGTGAAACGAACT